GCGAAAGTAGCATTGCTGAGACTCTCACCTTGTTCCCAGACTCCCTGCAGGAGGTGATGTGTTTATGTGTGTGTGTGTGTGTGTGTGTGCATGTGAGACCACTATAGAGATAATTTTCAAAGCAATAAACTGTATTCGCTGACACTTCTGCTTTAAGTATCAGGACACAAAAACTTTTCAAAGAAAGATCAAGGGAAAAGCTGACTAGAAATGTTCTCTGAAAGATGCTTCCATTTTTCCCTGGAAAAATCCACAATCATAAACCTTTATTATGTAATTATGAGTTTTGCCACCTTCATATGTCATATCTACGGCCCTGTTTAGGCTTGGTATTTTCCATTTTGGGTCATCAAGACACATTGAAACTAAATTTAACTTAACCACCAATTGAATGTTTTGATCAGGATTCTCACCTGGGGACTGAAGATTTTCATCTGGGGGATTTTCATCATATGTCATATATATGATTAATTAATGCATTAATTAATTTAATTAATCAGCAAATTATGACATAAACTGGCTAAACTGATATACTTAGGGTGTATTCACACCAGGAAAGTCCGCTAATTCACTTGCTTTGATCCGGACCAAATACAATGTTGATTTTTTTGTTTGGTGTGGTTCGCTTTTGCACTGCCCTTTTTTTAAGTGAACCAGAAATTTTAAACAAAACCACACGTGTGCTAAGGTCATCCATTCATTGGACCAAAATTCTCAAGCAGGGAAAAACAGGAATTGCAAAAACAGGCTAATCATGGAGATCTTTCGTAGTGCAATTTTTATTCTTTAACTGATTTGACGTTATCAGCTAACGCAATATGAATAAACTTATGAGCATCATATGAGACAATGTCATACGATTAGAGTCCGACCGATATGGGTTTTTTGAGGGCCGATGCTGATACCGATATTAGGGAGTAAAAAAGTCCCGATATCGATATATCGGCTGATATCTTTATGTGTATATTATAGTACAGTACCAGTCAAAAGTTTGGACACACTTGCCATTCGTGTGTCCAAACTTTTGACATAAACAGAATATATATAAATAAACACATTTTATGCAATGATAACTCAAATGTGGTGATCAAACACTTTTGATGTGACAAAGATATGTAATGGAGGCAGGGTATTCAAAAATGACAAATTTCATGATATTCCGCGTTATATAATAAATTCAGTTTTTATGAATGGATTCCGTGATTCTGTCTGCGTTTTCCACATCGTGAAAATCATAGGGCCCTACTAATGTAGCAAATGAGTATGATAAGCTCATTGTGAGAGTAAAAGACAGGGACATTGCTTATTGACTTTAGCATTGAGTCTCTCCAACTAGGTGACAACGTAGCGTTAAATCACCATTCAACAGACTCAAGCCACCACCGCACTGCCATCTATTGGACTGCAGAAAGATACTAACTTTTCAATCTGCTACGTTACTGACTGTACTGACAAACTATGCTGACTTGGGAAATGTGATTGACCGATGTGATAAGCATGAGTTCTGGGACACGATGCGGCTGGTATAAACACAAGCATTGACTGAGTGGCCGTGATCAGCTCCGGTGGCCGTGGAGCACGTAATGCGCCGCAGACGCGTACCGTGATGCGCAGATCAGCTATTCATCATATCATCATGCAAAACTAAGAATTAGAATCATTGTATTGTGACGATCGGGTGCGGGGTCAGGGCGGCTATCTAAATCAGAGAAAAATATAGGTGCGGGTGGATAATTTGAAGCAGCGGGCTCGGGTGAAGTTTGACACTACAGTGATCTGGGTCGCCAGTAGCAAACAATGGAGCATGCTCTGCTGGACAAACTAAGTAATTACACCATTTAGAAGCAGTTTATCTGCGTTATATGTTTTGTAAAAAAAATTTCATATCGGCGGCATATTCGCCGATACCGATATATATGCGACAGGCTCATATCGGCCGATAATATTGGCAAAATTATATAGTGGTCGGGCTCTACATACGATGTTGTAATTACGACTTGCCGAAAATAAAATCTATAGATATAAAATACTTAAAGCATATCACAATGTTAGTTTAAACATTTAACCTAGATAAATGTGCACTATCAGGCGCATATCCAATCGTTTGTGAGGAGAGTGGAAGCTGAAGCTCGCTTCAGGACATCAGTGGAAACAAATTAAAATACGCTGTCATTTTTGCTCATAAAGGTAAGAATTAGGGATGCAACGATTAACCGCGAGCCGGTTGAAAATCGATTCAAATATGTGACGCTAAACAAATCGCGATTCATTTAGGTGTAGGAGTTTATATGAATGCATGTCTGAGGGTAACTTACTGTCTTTAGAAAAGTTTAGATGGTATTTTTTCTTTTCATCTTGCCTCTGTATAACGCATATTAAAGTTAATAAGTTCAGCGCTGCTTTGTTTACAGCGGAAACCAAGGAAATGCTTTAAGCGGCACCTGCTGGCAGAGAGTGAATCTGCGTCTCATTCAGCTCGTCTTCTGTTTCTGTTACATGCAGATATTTAGGGGTTCAAGCACGCAGTGCTGAAACCCTATTGTAATTGTAAGGATTTTT